GGAGACTGCGACCACACAAAAGGCCACACCATCTTGGTCTTTATACCTTCGATTAAGAAGTTGACATAAAAGAGTGTTTGGTAGAGGCGATTGGTTACTGGTGAACCTTATGTTAGTAGTGTATCAGTGTACCAGGACTTTGAGGATCGGGAAACAAATTATTGAGATTCAATTGGCCTAACGAACCACAACATTAAAAACTACACTGATCCTCTTTAAGGCCAAACGGGGTTGAGAAGCTCTATATTGTCGACCCTCAACTCTTCTCCCTACTCTTCGGATATAGAATCGCAGAAGGGTGAAGAAAATGGAACCGAATACTAATTTCAGTCTCAAAAATGTATAGCAGCAATTATCAGGCAGCAAGAGCATAAAAATTCTGAAAATTACTGTGGCCAGAAGGACAAGATAAATAGGTATGATATTTTACTGGTCGTTATTCCAACCAAGAGTAACTTGGCATGGATACAATCGTGACTTGAAATTCTTCATAAGCATATTATTGAAGCAAGTTAGTCAACTCATGTGGCCAGCCTGACAAGCAAGTTGCATACTTCCGTCGTAAACGATAGAGTCTCATACAACTAATCTTATGCTTATTGGAGGGAGATAAATTTTTATTGTTGAGAAGATTTTCATTTTGTATAGAAATACATGATTAAGATATTCGTAAATCAGTCTCATCACAAGCTGTCAGCTGATTCGCGTTATAATGTAACCGTTTGGCATAAATAAAACGTTCAGGTTGATACAGTCCACGAGACATCTTCCAACGTTTCGTGCGAAGACAGTCTGAGCTTTAGTTCGTCATGTGACGAACCGCGTCAGAGTTACGATTCATTCTTGCAAAAGCCTCAAGTTAACACTAAGTTAAAAGGACTTAACGGCTTTTTTCTATATGATATGATATATATATATATATACATACTCATCGCGAATAAAATTTAAGGTATAAATAGATATAGAAAGGCTTGGTTAATTCACGTATACTTCAATGTGTCTGTGTGTGTATGTATGCTACTGTCTGTATGCAAAACCGATCATAACTCAAAGTAATTAGAAAATCCTTAACGTTATCCCCAGGTCATCAAGGCTTAGTGACCAAAAGAAAAAATGAAAAATGGATGACCGAGATTGTGTTAGTCCGTGAGTAACCCTAGTTAACTTGATGGGATGTAAACATGTACGCGCAAAAGTTAGGCTATGAAACTACCAGTCCGAACTCGTTAGTCCGGGTTAGTAAGGTTGAGTGATCCAAGAAGAAGCCTGACTGGGATTGCGCAGCAAACCTCTGCGTGGGACGCCATTTTATCTCATGCCCAGTCTCCGTCACTTCTGACCGTTCGACCCAGCTGCCCTTTCAAGCATTGTTGTGCTCCGCTAATCTTTGGAAAATCAGCCGACAGGTTTCGCCAACATGAGGTCGACCACAAGAGCATATAATCTTATAACAGCCGGATTTTGATAGTGAATCATATTTCTTTTTAAAACAAGGTATAACCGAAGAAAATATCAAAATTTATTTGACAATTGTCTTTCTCTCCCACTTCCTCACTGGTTCTCTATTCTTTTTTAGAAAGAAAACATGGCGGCAACATTAGAACATGAGAGAGGGTTTCGACTTGTTTCTCTCTGACTAAATAGTTTCCGCCTGAAAAGGTATTCCTCATTAAAGGTATATATTATTAGCAATTAAGCCCAAAGACTAATTGTTCGCCAGACGTAAAATTATCAGTCTTCCCAAATCTACGGTCAGAGGATTTTCATCAGCAAGCCGCATACTACTAATAATTATAGATTTAAAAATTCCAACCTTAGATGTGTAGATATTGTTAAAAAGAAAATTAAGAACTAAACCAGCATGCGCTTGTGTTCTCTAAGCAACCATAAGATACAAAAACGGTTATTCCTCATTTCTTCTAATTTCATTGTGGATTTAACATTTCTTTCACGATGATTAAGTGAAATAGGAAAATATTATAAACTGTATTTACAATGCTCATAAGTACAGCTTTAAATCTTATCAATTTAACTAGGGTTACTCACGGACTAACGCAATCTCGGTCATCTTTTTTTCTTTGGTTCATTAAGCTTTGATAACCCGGGGCTGATGCTAAACTTTTTACTAATTACTCTGGATTATGACAATTTTTGTGCACACATGCTAACACACATCAACCAAACATTTATATATTCATCAGTATCATAAACTTTGCTCGCAATTAGTATATATATCATATAGAAAAAAGCTGTTTAGTCTTCTTGACTTAGTGTTAACTTGAGGCCTTGACAAGAATGAATCCCAGCTCTGACGCTCTTCGTCACGTGACAAACGAAAGTTCAGCCCGTCTTCGCCTGAAGCGTTGGAGGATGTCTCGTGGACTGCATCAACTGGAACGGCCAAACCTACGAATCTCTTCATCATGTACTTCGAGACGAAATGAAAATCTTCACAACAATCCTATATCAGGAAATTTTTCGAAGCCCGCATTTCCCTCGTCTTTTTTTAAATTTATTTAAATTGGTGATATTTTGGCAATTTGCAGTTGTCCAGTCTCAATTTAGCGTTTTCAATTGGCCACGCTGTATACTAAAAATGTATTCATTTTCATACCTAATTGCAGGTCAATATTTACCAATATGAGATGTATTCACTCAATTTCGTTTAAGGTGATGAAGGACTGGTAGTAGAATTTTCCCACAATGA